ACTAGATGACCCACAGAGGTCCCTTCCAACCCCTACTATTCTGTGATTCTGTGAAACAAATGAAGCATGATCATACAATCAAACGCATAAAGGGGCTAAACCAATCTGCCCAGGAACTGGTCAGCGTTTCTTAGATTTTGGATGCTTTTCTTTCCCACCATTGTGCTTCATGCTGTTATTGCATAAGGTTATTGCCCAACAAAGAAATAAAAGCCCTGAATATATCTAAAATGTTACTGTTGTTTCTCGAATTCTCACTTCAAGTCATCAATAATGTTCAGCTTCACAAACAAGTTTTGCCACAGAGGTGCTGCCAAGGGAATATGAACCAGTTCTGGGGACTGCAGCCAGAGAGCTGGTGGGGACCGTTTCCTACTTGGTCTCCTCCATTTCTCCCCTCGTTCAGACAGGGGTGTTTTGGTCCCAGCTTAAGCAACACAAACAAGCCATACCCAAATTATGGAGGAGGAGAAAGGAAATCATGCAGAATTTCCTTGGATTTTTTTTTTTTTAATAGACAGTGATATCCTTGCAGAACTGCTTTAACCACAGCCCCCTTCTCAGTCATTTGAGCTAAGTGATTCTTAGCAGTTGCAGGCTGTCCCCATGCCTGTGGACCAACTGCTACAGGGGAACATGCTGCGCTTTGTCAGTGAATTTCAAAATTTGTGCTGAAATGCAGAAACGCTCTCGTGAGACCACACCTGGAGTACTGCGTCCAGCTCTGGAGCCCCCAACATAGGAAGGACGCGGATGTGTTGGAGCAGGTCCAGAGGAGGGCCACGAAGATGATCAGAGGGCTGGAGCACCTCTTCCATGAGGACAGGCTGAGGGAGTTGGGGCTGTTCAGCCTGGAGAAGAGAAGGTTCCAGGGTGACATTACAGCAGCCTCCCAGCACCTGAAGGGGGACTACTGGAAGGATGGAGAGAGGCTTTTCACAAGGGTGTGTAGTGAGAGGACAAGGGGGATGGCTGTAAACTAAAAGAGGGCAGATTTAGATTAGATATTGGGAAGAAACTCTTCACCATGAGGGTGGTGAAACACTGGAACAGGTTGCCCAGAGAAGCTGTGGATGCCCTCTCCCTGGAAGAGTTCAAGGCCAGGTTGGATGGAGCTCTGAGAAACCTGGTCTAGTGGAAGATGTCCCTGCTCATGGCAGGGGGATTGGAACCAGATGATCTTTGAGGTCCCTTCCAACCCTTACCACTCTATGATTCTATGAAACATACAGGCCAAGATACTCTAGTTCCGTTCCATGTTCTTACGGTTATAAATGCCTGTGCTCATAAGCTGCTCCAGTCCTTCCAAATATCAAATTCCTTCCCCAACCCAACGAGTTCTCAACAGAGCATCCCATTAAAACTGTTGTATGAATTAAACACTGCTAAAACAAACTAATTTTTCTTAGATTTGTATGAAAACAGCCAAAACATTTTTGCTAAAGTTTCCCCCAAAAGTCTGCTCAGGAAGACAATTATGAGAAAATATTTGAGACCCAATGGTAGCAATTTGGCAAAGTAGAAGAAAGCAAACCCACACTATATATTACAACAGAAAATGATACACTTAACATGGGGCACAATCATCGCAACTTGTAATAGTGCAAACAGACTTGTAACTCAAAATGAACTTTTACACACATTTTACATTTCTCTACACTGACAGTTTTTTGTCTAATGGATGTCTGTGGGACCTCTGGCAAACTCCACTTTCACATAAAAAAAGTGCAAACATTTCAGAAGATTAGTATTGCCCTCTACACTAACAGCAACACTGTCCAGGTTTTGTTGCTATCCAGAGCAGTCATTTTATAAGTCACCTTAAATTATTAATTTCTTTCTTCATCTACATTTCTCTTTTTAAAATATTCTCAGTGCACCAAAATTTCAAACTGAGGCAAACATAAAGCAAATACAGGCCGTGTAACACGTACTTTATTGTAGAGCGAGCAACACAAACCCCAATACTTCATCCTTCACAGGAGGCTATATATTGTTCACTTGGTAATAAAGTGTATAAATTACACTTTGATTTTCTTGTTTCAATTCTCTTTACCATGCCTGGTGTGCTGATGCGTTGAGAGAATTTGCTTTTTTGAAGTTTTGCTGACAGCGTTACAGAACCATTTTCTCTGGAGCACCTTTCTCAAACTTGTTTTTTGAAACCCTTTTTATACTACACCAATTTTGCTACCTCTGCAAAAAAATATTACTTGCCTGAGGGTTTTTCTTCTTCTTTCAGTCATGCTGCCAGGGGGGCTGATTGTTTCTAATTGCTGAAGTCAAAACTCCCTGAAAATGGACTATTCAAGCTGAAGAGCATTTCACATGAGCACGGCAGGTTTTCCAGTCACCTTATTTGTCTATATTATTTACTAACACAGTTACTAAGTGATGGAGATTATAAAATCATTTAAGCTGGCTGCATTGACAGCCTGGGCAGAAAAATAATTCTATTGCTTGAGATTCCAGAATGCCAATCATAGAATAAAGCATCTGACCATTTAGTGAAGAGTATGGCGTAAATAAAACAAATGGATAGAAATGACATACATAGACAGGTCTCTAAAAGCTAAGTTATCAGTGCAGGAATTTCTCACATGAGTCATTTAACCAAATTTTCTTGTTTTCACTATGCAAGTGGAAAAAAAGATTCTGTCTTAAACTTGATGGGAAGACTATTGGAAATCCTTTGTGCATTTACAACATTAAACTGTATCCATTGGACATCTAAATGTCCACTTCATCATTTGTATCATTTTCTCCCCTGTGAAGAATCGCTCCTCTACGTTCTATTATCTATAATTTCATTGCATCAGGCAAGAAAGTTTCATCCGTTTCTCTGCTACAGCCTGAAACGTGCATATATAGTACAATACAGAGGTATCTGAAATTAAGATAGGGTTACTGATCTGAGTGAATTCAAGACTGAGTGTAAATACGATGACTAAAGTATGCTGTTGACTTCCAATTATACTTTTACTTTCCTTTACCGTTTATCATAGCCTCAGCACACGAATGTTTCCCTGCACCACATCTTTTTTTTTTATTACGGTAGCTCTGAATTTTTTGTTTAACCTTATAAAAACCTGGGACTTTCAAACAGTGCGGCTGGCTGCTATCTGCTAGCAACTGATAGGCTTAATAAATTATTCCCTGTATTTAAAGCGTAATGATGTTTCTGGGCTAGGCACGGTGTGGGCTGCATGATGCGAGGCTGGAAAAGGAAGGGGTAAAGGCAACCTCTTCGTGTACTAGCACTGAGCCAGTGCTGCAGCAAACACCTGGGACTGCCTGGGCAAGCTGCTTTTGAGATTCCTTGTGCAGACATTCATCCAAGTGTAGGTCAAAATCTGAAAGAACCATAGAAAACCACAGCTAGAAGAGACTGCAAAAAACAATGCAGTAAGCACCTCTTCCCTAATCAAGGATTATTTGAGGTGTGTCACATGCTATTCTTATAAATCATCAAAGGTGGAGGGGCCACACGTTCTCCAGGTAAACTTTTCCAGAGCGTCACTATTCCCAGTATTGAGAAGTCCGACTTCATTCAGCACTGATGTGATTAGCCTATTATTGCTTTTTCTATACATCCATAATATATAGCTCATTCCATTCTTTCTGTGATAGGTTTTTACATACTACTAGGCACTTCACATCTTCACTCGTATGTCCCTTCCAACTAAACGACCCAGTTTCAGTTCTTCCCATAAGTCAGGGACGTCTTATCATTTTCTTTTTTTACTGCTGGAGACTCTCTTGAAAGGAAATATACTTGAAAAATGTTTACTACACTTGAAAAACTATAATACATAGTTTCTGACAGAAAAAGATGAAGTGATTACAAGTCCTGTGATAGAATGTTTAACTGGCACAACAAAATCTCCAATGTACAATACCCTGAAAAAAGTTCATAAACACTAACCTAGCAGCAATGGATGTCAGCCTCATTCAGCAAGATATCTTAGTCATTTCACAGTTGAAGTAAAATTGATTAATCATGCATTGAACTAGAGGGAAAGAAATAGAAAGAATCACATCAAAGACAGAAAAAGGTAAACTAGACTGAAAGAAGGTTTTTGAGTTGGACAAAAACATTCTGGGGGATAAGAAGGAAAAAACACAAGCTAGCAAGAGAACACCACGTGAAACAAGTAAGTGGAAGATAATACAGTTTCAGAAAAGTATGCAGAAGCCTATGGAAAGAGTTATCAAAATACCTGTGACTGCCAAAACTCTTGAAAAATAAAATAAAAAATAAATAAATAAAAATATCAGGATAAAACCAGACAGACAGGATAAAGGCACAGATGACGAAGAACAAGGGGAAGTACATGGAAGAAACAAAGAGGTTTCACAATTTCCCTTTCAGGAATTTTGCCACAGGAGTCAAGAACAAACATTTCATGCTTTTCTATTTCAAAACAAAAGGTACTGGAAAGAATAGATACTGCCTTCTGCTGCAGTATCTCTCTGTTTTCTGCTTCTGCTGTGAGTCTGACCCAACCCAGTTTCCCGTTAGTCTCTGTGCCCAGAGCCTTAAAAGCAGTAACATTCCCTCTTCCAAACATGTGTGACCTGTTCGAGAGCAAAAAACCCGCCTGAACCCACGGAAACAGAGCAGACATTTGACAAATATCTCCAAGCTTTTGTCAAAATAGATTTCCCCCAAAGAGAGGCTAGGGAGTTAGCATAATTTAACGGTGCACATTTATGTGAGGGTTAGTATCATCACCAGCACAGTTTGCGTGTTTCGTGTCACAGAAACATCTAGAGTTTGATAAGGGATTTTCATATCGGAAATAGCGTATGGCCCATATTGAGATTCGGAATTGTGTAAAATAATACCAGTGTGTAATTATGCATGCTTTACTTTAAACAGAGAAAAATAAAGATGCGCAAATTAATAAATAGAGATTACCTCAGAGCAGCAGTTTTCCCATTTCTGTGAGTACATGTCACCTGCCTGGTTTGGAACCCAATTTGTATGTCCCAATATTTGTTCTCTTGTCTATTCTGTCTGTTTCGATTCCTCTTCTTCTTAATTAACTCACGAGCCTCAGGATCCCGAACAGCCTTTTCTCTGTCCTTTTCCTTGTCTTTGTTCTTCCCTCTTCTCCTTGCCTGCCTTATTTGTCTCGAATGGGGCACTGAGCATGCACTCCAGGGTCCCACGTTTAGGCTATACAGGCTTTCTTCAGCAGCGCACGGGCTAGACTGACAGATCTGGAACTCGGTGAGATTAGGACAAGCAGACCCACCGAACTGCGGTGGAGCCACAACGTGCCGAGTTCGATGCTGGAGCCCGTTGCCGCAGGTCTTGGAGCACTCCGACCAGGGGGCGAATTCGGCCACGATGCAGTCCTGCCGGCACGGGATGAGGCACGCCTGCTCCTGGCGGGGCTTCGGCTCAAAGTACTCGCAGATGACATCCTCAGCTGGCACCCCGTTGGACTTCTGGATACAGGTGATGTCCCTCGTCTGGATCCCTTCCTCCCCTCTGAGGCACTCCAGGGGCTTCTCATGGCTGCGGGAGAGGACGGGCCGGCACTGGTTCCAGTTGCCAATCTGCCAGTCGTACAGCTCCTTGTGCCAGTCGCAGACCCGGAAACAGCTCTGCTGGTTGTCCGGCCGCTCGGGTTGCTTGCAGTTCGTGGGCAACGTGGTCCAGCCCTCCACATGGGCGCACCACACCGCTCGCGTCTGGATGCCACCTGGACCGCATTCATCTCCCATGCATCTGCCCCACGGACCTGGAAAACAAGAGAATATGCTAACTTTGCACACGTAATTGTTTTTCTGCTGTGGTGCAAAACCAAACTCACAGAACCAGTTTTGTGTTTCCTACATATCTAAAAATTTATTTCTTGGAGAAACTCCAACTTGGAAAACACAAAACAAGTATGGAATTATTCTTCATCTCCTGTTTTTATGATTATAGATACGTTTCACCTTTTGTCCTAGACAAATTGAAAATTTAGGTTCAAGAACTTTAATCACATTAAAGGACTAAGAACTGAGCAATCACAAAGCCATCACATAATTTTGACTAGCAAGATAGAAGCCAAAGTCCTCCCCTCCACAGCATGAATCTGATCTTATCTCTCACCTAGATGAATGCTCTTTCCTGGAATGTTTTGATTTTTTCTTCGCATTTCTACTGCACTACTGTTTATACCCTGATGCCAATTAATATTACATTCTTTTTTCTTCCACGTTGTGTTAAATAATGAGAAAAACAACATATTATATTTTGAAAAATAGAGGTAATTTCAGGTAGGTCACTTCTATTCTTTCCTTTATCATAACTAAAATAAAAATTAAAAGCCAGTTAAGGAGTGTTTGTTCCACATAATCTATGACATGATTATACAGAATAAGTTCTTGAAGACACAGAAATATCAGCTGGGAACTCTCCAAAGGACAGAAGTTATTGCTTTTTTTAAATCTCTAAGGTCTATGGTAAATACTCAACATGTTGTTATAATTAGTGTCAACAAAAACAATATCCTTGAAAGCTGATATGGTTGCTTTTTATATGATTAAAAACTGTAATATTCACCCAGTCCAACTCACAAAATCTATGAATCAGAGGGTACAAAACCTGTATTTTTCAGGTTTTTTTAAGACACCCCCTCATATACACTGTCCATTGACTCTAGTATGAAAGAGGAAAAGAACAAGCAGTTCAGAAAAAGACCTGTAACCATTTCCCAAAGAAAAGATGTTTATCTGCAAACAGTTGATCGCATAGAAGACATTTTCTCTGACTGAGAAGTGCTCATGTTCCATGAAGAAACTGGGGCCAGGCCACGCGATCCTCATTCACCTGAATGACTCCAGTAACAAGAATATTTGTGTGAGTAAAGTTGTGGAAGATGCTGTGTTGAGCCTTTGTTATTTTCAAAGCAGGTTAACAGAATAATTCTGGAACTACACAAGAGTAGGTTAAACAAACTATTCGCAACACTTTCTTATTGAATGACTGGAAGGAATATGAAGCCACATCTTATTACTGATTCCCATGAGCTTTAAAACTCTCATTGACTTCAACACAGTTTTCAGGTGTTTGTCCAACATTAACTTCAGTAGCAGTTTGGGAATGGGCTGATGATAGGCCATAACACTTCGCCTGTGTTTCTCATTGCCTCTTTTTTAAGTGGACGCCACAGCCGAACTGTTTGTTTGTAGTTTTAAAATCCTAAGCATTAATACACCATAGTGATGCCATCTGGCAGAGACCAATTCAGCCCATGGAAACTCCTCCGTATTTTTCGCAGATTAAGTTTGAATTAGCGTTTCCAAGGTTTAGCTAGCTATCCAGAAAAATAAATGTATATTAAATACAAATACTTTTCAGTTTCCATTTCAGCAAGATTACCCTACTTTATCTCTAACCAGCCTTCCACATATGACATAATCGTTGTATTTAATTTAGGTGTATTTACACTGAGTTAGGAGATATCATTTCCTCAGAACACCACTTTGAACACCTGCCAACTTTAAAAGAATAAAGACAGCAGAAAATCTCTAACTAAAGCAGAGATACCAAAATAATCATGATTGAAATAAAGCTAAATTGTTCATCCTGCAAACTATAAAGTTCTGTCTTATCAGATCACTGTATCTTCTGTATACTTTATGTGTTCAGTGAAGAAATTCCTTTTCTTAAAGATCAGGTCTGTACTGTACTACAGATGAAAAATTTGCCCTTTTGGGATTCTACCAAACTTCCAATGATCAGTTATAGAACAAAACACATTGTACCTAAAAATTGTGCTTATCATCTAAGTATCTTCAGTCCAATTCATTGACATGTTTATACTAACGCAAATGATAAAAATATCAGCCTCAATGCGCTAAGGACTGTCTTTGGCAATGTAAATATGAAAAAAATCTGTATGTGACTGTGATAATTGGGCAAAAATAAGCTCTTTCCTAAGATTAGAAGAATATTGTTTTTAGAACTGGATCCAAAGTAATGATGAGGTGCACAGATAGGCTTATGCATTAAGTTGCATTGTTTTTTCTTTTGATGTGAAGGAGTGTGCAATTTTATAAAAGCATTGCCAGTGAGTACTAACAAACTACATTTACACGAAACTTTGAGCAACCTACTACTCAGCGCCTCTAGGTTCACGTAGTTGTTGACATAGAGCTATTAGTGATGTATCTGACCACCCTCCTTATCTACATTAAGTTGATTTTTAAGTTTAAATACAAAATAATCCGTTTAGAGTACAAGGCTAAAAGTACATCACAAGCTAAAATCTTCACTGTGCTGCACACTTCTTTATATGATTATAACAAAAGCAAGCCACAGCTTTGGGGCAGGGATCTGTTTAGGCTTTCTCCTTAGTGAGCCTCCTCAAAAGACTAAACTTGCCCAAAACAAATTTCATTTGCGCAGAAATCTAAAACTTGTGGAGGGGGGAGATATTAACGAAAGCAAGGTGAAAACAAAAGCAAGAAACAACAAAATAAATGAGTTATACACAATTCTTCCTCTGCTCACTAAGCCTCCGTGGTGTCTCTGTGCTTCCCTCCCATACAGCAATTTTCTGAGTGGCAGCAAACTCTGTCCTGTGTGCTCTGGCCTCTACAAATCCCTTCCCCTCTGCAGTTTGGCCACCTACTCCCCGCCATACCTCCACACTCTCTCAAATTTTCTCTGTTTTCTATGCTATCTCCTCCACCTTTGTAGATGGCTCCACCAACTACTTGTTCAACAAATGTAACACCTATCAGGAACAAAAAAGTATAACCAGTACCATTCTTCAAAACTAGCCACATTTCTCTTTGGGGTTATGGAAGATACAGGGGGGAAAAAAACCCAAAACCATAACACTTCCATACTCAGTGGTCCCTTAGAATAAGAGTTTCAACCTAACTTCCAATTAATTAATTTCACAAAACCTACGAATATCTCAGCAATCTCAACAGCTTTAACACAGTTGTCTCATTTGAGTGGAAGAAGAGGAATTGCCATTTTGTTACTTTCTTTAACTTTTAAGATTTTTTTTTTTTTAAATTGATGTATTTCTAGCAACATGAACAGAAACTTCATTTCACCAAAAATATTCTGAGAAATAAAAAACCTTTTTTTTCTTTTGGAAACAGTTTCTGGCATCCACATTAACCAATATATCCATCAGTTTTCGGTTTCATGTTGCTTTGAAATCTTCAGTTAAATGATCCACATTTTCTTGTAGGATCACAAGTTAACCTCACTGTTAACCTCAAGCACGTGCCGAGGAACATTGTTGCCATATGTTCTTTATACAGACTCCACAAAAAGAGAGAGAGAAGCGCCTCTGCAATTCCCTTTACAGGTACCCATAGCTCTCTATCAATTATGAAAAAAGCCTACAATAATTTGCTTCTAACCTAAGTGGCCCCAAACACATTGCAAGCATCAAGGCCAGACATGGTTCTCATTTGAAAATAATCACAGAAAATAATGAAAATAAATATATCTGAACTGAGCAAAGGGGCTTTGTGACTTTGTCCAAACAACAAGAAATGCATCCCAAAGTAGTCCTAATCCACTGTTAATTTTTTTTCCTCATTGCCACAGATTGGAGAGAAAGCATCCCACACATGCTTACAGTATTTCTTTGCCCACTGATCAAGACACCACTGAAGATACATGATGAAAAAACAGTGAAAGTAGAGACTTTGAATCATTCTCAGAAGTATGAGAAAACCACGTACAGATCACCTGCAACATGCTTTTGATATCATATTATTATGGGCAGTACATTTATCAGAACATCTGTAAATGTGAAATTTGGGGATAAAATTAACCTTTCAGAAACTTGTGTAGCATAGGTATGCAACTCAACAATGAAAGAAACCAGCAGAACACATCGCAAAGGGTCTCATCCACCACCATCGCTTAAAGGCTGCAGGAGGTGGGGGGTAGCTGCTCTTCCACAAATCCTCAGAAAGTCTTTAGGAAAGCTGTCAAGCCTAATGAAGGCCTCATATGATGTTTTAATTTGCTCTTTATGAATATCCTTTAGGTTCTCTCTTTCCCACTGAAGCAGTGTTCACGCAGACATTCTGTTCTCCCTGCTGTGCACTGATCAAGTTACGCCTGGGCAACGGGATGTACGCGTGAGACCATTTTGCACCAGGGAAAAAAACCTGCTGCTGTGAATGCAGAGTAGTTTTTCTTAGGATTGTATTTTAAACATATTTAGATGAATGAGTCATAGTTTACTTGTAGTGATCATTTATCTGCTCTTTGTCTAATCAGTGTATTACAAATGGCAGTTACAGAAATAAAGAGGAAGCTTGCTTCTTTTTTGTTGTTGGGAGTTGTCACAGAAGTCTTGGAGAGTTTAAAATGTCATTTGTAATTCTTTGTCTTCTAAAGAGATTACTGCAATATACAACATTAAGATTCCCTCTAAGTTTCTGGAAGATTAACATTTATTTTCGTTAGGGAGCAGGAAAGTAAGTGAATTAATCATTACTGCAAGTTTATTCTGAAAATTCAGGGAGTGACCACAATGAAGTCAAAAAATCAAGACAAAAACCCCACTAAACCCCTGATAACTTTCCAGCTGAGAACAAAGTAAGCTATCGCAGTATTTAATATCTCATATATTAAAATTGTTTCAAGTATTAAAATTATCACTATTTGAAGAAAAAACTTATTTGAACTTTGATCCAGGGCAAATAAGCCTATGTGAAAATCCCTTGAGTTTTCCTCCATATACAAATACAAACAAAAAGACAAAGAAGC